GGAATCCGAAACGTCAGGCTAATAAAGCTCTTGTCCCGGCGATCGTGTCTCCTTCTTCAAGAGCAAGGGTTACTTTACTCTTGTCCAGGAAATTCTATCTCCAAAAATCTCATAAGGTTTTTTTAGTCTGACTATACTTCGACAGGATGTCTGAAGTGCTGCGAGTTAGTGACGGGACTGAAACGAAGACTGGCAGTTGAAGAGAACAACCCGGCAATTTCTATGGAACGAGTATTACGGAGAAATTCATTGCTGATATGAAACCAGCCAATGCTATTGATGGTAGAGGCAACGTACTATTGCCCAGCTCGAGACCAACTGATCTAGACACTGTCGTATAATTCGAAATAAATCTCGAGCATACTAAAAACAGAGTCAGTTTTTGAAGTTCGACGAATTAAAACTAAGGGTAACCGATACATTACCGGTTTTTATGTCTGAAGCAGAAACTTCGCTATCAGAGAGCGAAAGTGACGTGATCAGTAGCTTTACCGCATGTCATTTATTTACGAGGGGCTGAAATAAACGCCAAATATGCCCACATCTGGAATAATCTCCCACCGGAACTTAGGTCACCGATTAAGTTATTGACACTCAAATCGAAGCTGGCAAGACCCTTAAATAAATAAATAAATTTTTTATTTAATGCCAGTTTACAGGCATTGTCAAGGAAAGCGATTAAACACAAATCCGACCAGCAGTGAAAAAAAAACTCCTGAGCTTAAGGCATAAAAATATAGTTGATGGTGGTTTTTGTGGTTTGGAGGGCTCAGGAGAAAAAAAACTGTCGGCGGTGGTAGAATATCGACCGTCAAGAAGGGGGGAGGTTGCACGGTATCGGAGATTATCGAAAGTCAAATTCGTTTCATGAAGCTGGGGATAGCCAAATTAGAGGCGTTGAGGAACAGCTGGTGAGACCGGCCATAGTGTTCAGAGACCACAAACGCCATCGCTACGGTACAGTCGATCAGAGTTTTAGGCACCCAAAATTTGTGGGAGCTTTTCTGAATGCAAAAATCGAGTAATAGTTCTCTTAAATAAAGGATAATTTTGCAGAGTTTTCGCACTCATGGGTAGTTTATTCCAAATAGCAATTGCATTTACAGAAAAGAACCGACGATATTTAACAGTACGTGCCAGAGGCAGAAATAAAAAGACCTCACGGTGACTGTTACGTCGTGGGTGGATATGATGTCTTAAAGAGGTGAGTGGGTTAAATGTGTGATTATATAAGAGTATAAATAGCAAAAATAGTCCCTTTTGTAATCTACGGAACCATAATGGATCAAGACCCGTAAGCCGGCAACGTTCTTGGTAAGACAAATGTCGGTGTTCCGGGGTTAAAATTCTCTTGGTAAAAAAGTGTTGAACGGATTCTATTTTCTTCCGCTCAGTAGCACGCATGAGGCTAAATGAAAACGAACAGTATTCCAGACCAGGTCTAACGTACATGTTGAAAAGGCGCATTCTAATGTCCCTAGTTTTAAAATTTCGGAGGATAAACCCGGTCGTTCTACGTGCTTTGGAGACTCTCAAGGCACAATGCTCCGAGAGATTGAGACTCTTGGAGTATGATTCGCCCAAATCCTTTATAACCCCTGGCACATTTATGGCGTGACCTTCAATACTTAGTTGAGGTTGGCGGTCGTCGCCAACCACCATGACTGAGCACTTATGCCAAGAAAGAGATAGGCGCCATGTGCGGCACCACTGGGCGAAAGCCTGTAAATCGCTCTTTAGGAGCTCATGCACGATGTCATGATCTGCCGGCTTATATCGATATGCAACTTTAAGATCATCGGCATACATGAAAGGCCTACCATTCTGAGATAAATCGGGTACATCATTAACGAAAGGGCAAAATAAAAGCGGGCCGAGTACACTACCCTGAATGACTCCACTCCTCACACGTGTGGGGTTGGAGATGGTATTGGAAATCTTAACTCGTTGTGTGCGAGTGCCCAAATAAGAGGATATAAAATTCAAAAGCTTGCCACCTGTTCCGAAAGGGGACAATTTCAAGAGAAGAAGAGCATGGTCAACACGGTCAAAAGCCTTAGTGAAATCGAAATATACTGTGTAAAGAGCAAAACCATGGTCCCTAGATTGGAGAACATAGTCAAAGAAAGAGAGTTGACAGGTGTCACAAGATCGAGCTTTGAGGAATCCATGCTGAGCAACACTCAGTAAATTA